AGTGAAGAGACTATTGAAAGACAATATTTTTAAAGTACTCATTGGCCCCTGCCTGACTATTAACTCACCCAATGAAGCATCTATTCAGCCTTGTTGGAGTGTCCAAAGCATAGCCATCTGGGCGGATGCCTGCCCATGCTGCCTGAATCACCTTTCACACTCTACATCCGGTTTAATGAAGAGTGCTTAAGCATGCTGAACTCCAAACACTGGGGCCTAGTGATCTTTGCCAGATATAAAAGCGACATTTGTTGGAGGGCCCTTGACAGGAAATTACCATTTTCTGGGTTAATTCACACTTGCTGCTACTGCTGCTGCTAGACCTAGACAAGAAGCCCTTTAAGTTTGGGAGACTTTGAGCAGATTATTGTTCAGGCCTTGCCCAAAAATGTAAAATTAATTTAATTTCTTTTAGTATTATTTTAGAAAATACAACGCTAAATATGTCTTCCCATGAAGCAAAGACTGAGTTCCTGCAGGCTGAGGACAGAGAATAATCGCTTTATTCTTATCCTCAGCTCACTGGCTGATTATTCATGGAGGTGAAAGGTGTCCCTGTCCAAACAGCAAAATATTTTCCTAATGAATGTGGCTCTGACTTTACATTGCATTAGCTCACACTTTTGCAGAAGGCTGTAAGTTGATGTTTTACGTTAGCCACTGCTTTAGGACTCGCAAATAACTCGTACCAGAGAAAACAACAATTGTGAAGAACCGGCTATAAATTAACTTCACAAAAATATGCTTAAAATCTCTCAAAAAAGGACTCAAAACTATTGAATGATTGTGTCTTTATGACCCTTAATTTGATCCTTTTCTCCACAAATCGAAGCTTGTTGAATATTAGCCTGCCAAATAGGTTGGGTAAAGTTTTCAAGTGGGTCAAAGTGATTTTGGTACTTTCGAGAGTGGCATTTTGAACCTTATGACAACACTACTTACGATTATTTAAAAAGAAGTTAAGGCATCTATTTCCTGTTGCGTTCAATGCACGATTACCTCGGTTGCGTTTTAACAATCTCAAGTCCACTGTGAAGCCATACAGTTAGGAACAATGATTCTTCTTGCCTGGTGGGAATTGGACCGCATTTTTTTTCCTGTCATCACTAGCCGTTTGATGACAGGGTGGTTATTGGAAGGGTGTATTATTCCCACCGCGCTGGTAGGAATACCATCTTTAAGGTCCCTTCCAACCCACACCATTCTATGACTCTATGGTATAGTCACGAGCTTACACTGTGTATGTGCTGGAGGGACAAGAACTTTTCTACTTCTTTTTTTGATTTTTGGGAAGCAGATGGGCCAAAAACTGTGGATGGACACTAAAGCATGGGCGAGGATTTCGTTGGCTCCCCCACTGTAACAAAAACCAGTGATAACTTTCTACTGTTGCAGAGGCATAGGAAGGGAAGTGAAGATGTGGTTGGGTCAAATAGTGGCATGCAGCATTGCACAGAGAAACCAAGTGGTGCTGTAGCTCACAGGGCATTTCTGGGAAGTTATGTGAGACCACTATGGTCCTCAGAGCAGTTTGGGAGAGTCAGAGCGTTTTCCAGACTGGTTTCTTCTCTCCAGACCATGGGAGTATACTGTGCTCTTCATAAACCCAATCTGACCACAACAGAGCAGCAGCGCAAGCACTTGCTGATACAAATATGCTCCTCACAGCCCCAAGAGTTGGTTAGTACCTCCTGAGGAGAGGCCTCCAGCTCAGGGACAGCTGACCCTGGCTATGCTCCTGAGCTCAGCAGGAGACAGCTTAAAAGCAGGGGGAAAAAAAAAAAAAAAAAGCGCTTGTCTTTAAGGTGGGAACTGGATCTCAAGGAACAAAAAGGGAGACACTGCTATGCCGCTTCTATGGCTCTCTGTTAAGTACGTCCACCTGAGGTTCACCATTTGGAGAAGTGCAAAGGAAGAACAGGTTAAAGGCGGCTGTGGGGAGCATGGCTTCTCAGATCTCAGTGGCTGATCTGGCAGCTTCTTGACTGAATCCCTCCTACCTCAGCTGAGATCATATTTTCACAGAAAGGCTGGAGAGCAGCTGCAGCCCCAACAGGTTCCCTGCTCAGCTCAAGTGGGAGAGCAGGACACTGGCATGCTCCCCAGACGACACCTGCCCTTCAGTGCACCTGCAGTCCTTAGATAACTTCTGTGTACAGAGCAACTCTCACAGGAGAAACTAAACAGGTGGTAACCCTTAAGTCTGGAAAAGGCATGACAGGAAGGAGGTGAGAGAAATTATGCAGGTCTATAATGTCTCAAACGGTGAGAGCAGATTAATAATTCCCTATTCCTCATCATCCAAAAAGCATAGGGCACCCAATGCAGTTATGAGAGAACAGGCTTAAAATTAACAAAAGAACACATGCTTCATGCAACTCATCCCTAAGTCTATAAGTACAGAAAAGCTCAAAGAACAAAAAAGCTCAAAGACAAGGTAATGGAGAATGGTTTGCTACAAAATACAGCAGTCCAGCTGCTGCTTCCTAGGTCTCAGGAGATCCCTAGGTCGGCTCTTGCCAAAGACAGCAAGGCTATGCGGGTGAAAGGACCACCACCTACCCGCCCTGTTTCTAAGACTTCCTCCACACATCCGTTCCTGGCCATTGCTGGAGACAGGACCCGGATAACTGGACCACGCTACAGCCACACATTAGAGCGCTTACACACAGGTGGTGTGTTTGCTGCTTTCCGTAATGCATGTACAGCCGTGCACGCTCCTATGACGTGCAGCTTTATATGCTACTAGATATATTCAAATATTAAAAATATATGCTGCTGCAGATTTCTCTAGTTATTCTTCCTACTAAAAGTGCTGTCCTTGTGATTTACAAAGACAGGAATTACGTTGTGTTTAAGGAAGAGGTGGAATGATACCAATTAAAATATTTATGGATAGCCTGAAAGAGGATCAAGACCAGGGTGAAACTTGCAGACAAAAGCTGTGATCAAAACCCAGTCAAACGTACGTTGTGGAGGTGGATTAGGGGTGACGCCGTGAAGGAGTTACGTTTGAGGGGGGTACCTCTCTGCTAAACTTGATATAGGCTGGCAGAAACGCCCAGAGGCTTTTAGACAGTTACTGTCTATTACCTAAAACCGCACAGAGAACTTACAAAACATGAAGTCAGTATAGACGTGTTTATGTACACACATTACATCAGTCCCCTTCTATGTGATGAAGGAATAACATCATGTGGTTATATGCACTCCTGCACTACAGTTTACAGAACTAGGTAGTAACAAACCAATCTGTAGATCTCTATATTTTTAATTTGTGTGTCAGGCTCCTGGCCAGTAAGCCAAGTCAAGAAATGAGCCATCAGGCCTGGAGTTACAAGGAAGCAGCTGTTCTGAGAACTGTTCACAGATGCTGATGAAAGAGAAAAAAAAAGATTTCGGATTAAGACCAAGGTCTGAACAGGCTGTCCCTGTCAACAGGAAGACTTTTAGCCATCAGTTGGAATCAGTCAGCCTATCCTGCCAGAAGGAGCCAGTTTTAGGCTCACACTGGGTTAGTAGCTGCGGATGTACCTTCATCAGAACATTTACTCCCCTATAAAGTTTTTTACAGGTCACCATTTCCATATTTTTTATCTTCTTGTCCATCTGAGAGTCACTTATCTTTCTGAAACTATTAGCTACTTATCAAAATTTCTATTTAACCCAAAATCACAAGATACATATACATTCCTGTGAGCTAAAGTAAGCTCAAAGACTGTCTTAGAAGCATGAGCTAACAATAACCTCAGGAGATTTCACCGGTCTCTTCTGGGCTGGGGTGTGAATGAGCATGCAGCTGTGACATACGTGCCGCAGCTGTATCAGCCTTAGCAGCTAACGCCTCATTTTCTCTGACACTAGGGGATTCCAACGATCCAGGGCCCTCTCACTAACGTGGACTTGCTGCTTGGCTTGGGACCCCCACCCACACTTTTTAAGAGCCATATGTAGTATTTGATCGACAGCTGTGTGACTTCTTCCACCAGCACAGTCCCACTGTAAGGATCCCAGTGACAACACCACAGCAGATATCCTAAAATAAGTACAATGCAACCATCATTGAATCGTCATGTTGGGATCAACATGCTCCATGTTGGCAAATGCAGTTTAAAGGGTCACTCATTTCTTTCCCCTTTTCCAGCTGTTCAGTTCTCCACTACCACCAAAGTTATCCCCTCTATCTTCTTTGCTCTAGTTCCAATTCTTTTGTTGATGATCCGTAAATGGTATCTGTGAAAAGATCCATCTTAAAGTTCTACTAATCAAACAATCAAGCACAACTCTCTTTTAATGTAGAAACATTGCTCTGGGATGGAAAATAGCCTCAAAGTAACAGACCTGATAATACCTGGAGTATGTTGCTCTCTTCCACAGGAAGAGGTTGGACAAGGTGTTCTTCAAGACCAAAATAGTAATTTATATCTGCAGCCTCAACCCACCTCTATTACATGTCAGCTGTTTCAGCTCAGACCCCTGTGTGGGACAAGAGCTCTCTCTGATTCCGTGTTTGTAGAGGAGAACTTACCCCACACAGATTTTTTTCTTAGGAGTTAATCTGTAGACACGATCCTGATGAGCATGATAGGATACTGGCTAAAGCCGAGCCAGAGTTCTATATTTGGACTGAATGTAGATTATAACAAAGAGTTCTTTTGAAGAGTTATGGTCAATGCCTCCTCTTCTTGACTGATTATATTATCACAGCCATACACTTCGCATCTCCTCCAGTTTTGGTGTGGTGGCAGCTGTTTATATGTTCATATCAAATTTGGGTGCCTGTATTTTGACTTTGCAAGGTCATGGGTCCTACTGCAATTCCCTGCCCCACGTTCCCCTCAGAAGGTCCACTAGAAAAAGAGTAATTCCCTAATTATCCTATTAGGCACGTCTACCAAACTTTTGTTGCTTGAAAATACCTGAGAAAGGACTTATCGTCAGGTCAGGCATTTTACAGAAGCTCACTTAGCTTTAAAAAGAATGTCCGCAAATTCCATATTAAAATCAGTCAAGACTTTTAGATCGTTTTTGAAAGCCGGGTTTCTGTTTGTAGCTCCTCTCAGTACAGAACAGTACAGTATTGACAGGGTTTTGTTAGCTGTGTCCTGCTGTGAGATTCCATCTCAGTTTACAAGCAGCATGAGAAAGAACATGCTAAATACAAGTTTTTAATGTATATTACTATTTCCATATAACATATTAACTGGGACGTGAGTAAACTACAAATGTATTGATCTTGATTTCCTTTATTTATTTTTTGCTTAACTTGTGCTGTCTATGTCAGTGTGACAGAGAGTTGTCGGAGGGTAGAAAGAAACTCCTTGTATGGGGGATAACATTTCTAAACATTAAAACCCTAACTCTCCATTTTACATAGAGATTCATGACCTTACAGACCATTTGGCATGCAGCACTCAATGTGGGTTTTCTGCAGCAAAGCAAAGCAAACAAAATTGGTGAGCCAATTTTAATTCAGAAAGTGATGTATTCTGGAAAAAAATCTGGAGATAATAGGGTAAGGCCTGTACTGAAAAAAAAAAATGTATGCAAACCCATGATAAGACGCTCTCCTTGAACAGTCACTCACTGTTCCTATTGAAGATACAGCAGCTGCAACAACCCTCCAACAAATCCTCACACCTCGTGTCTGATGCACCAGGTGCTACACAAATGGGTGAGAAACTGCAGATTTGTCTTTTCCATAAGCTAGGGAGCCACTGTTGAGCTGGTCCAAACGAGCATATTAGGGTGTGTAGGACAAGCTTCTCAGCAGCTTTAAAAAAGCTTCAAGGAGATCAATACTATTGCTCTTATCTTACAGCTAGGGAAAAGGAGGCATAAAAAAGAGAAATTACTTCTCTGATATCTCATGGCAGACTGATGCCAAAGACCAGAATGAGATGCAGGTTTCATCTGGTTTAGTTCAAAGCACTATCAAATTCATATCTACACATCTGGTATGAAAATGTGCCAGGCCAGTGATGAGAGTTACGCCTGGTAGTCACTAATACACTTGTATAAGTTGGCAGTACGTGAAGCGTAAGAGGTGCCCTGTGGGTGAATGACCCCAATACCACCACCTCCTGCCTCTACCCACCTTTTGCCAATCTTCAGCAGAGTGCCCAGCAAGCAGGCTCCTGCACTGGGGAAGGACCAGCTGTATAATGTGCTAAAGCCCTCCTGCAGTGGCACTACTTTTGAACTGTTGCCCAAGATCATCTTAACACTTCATCTGCGTCAATTCCTACTGGCTCAGTTTTGGGAACTGAAATAGTTATGGACTTAATTTCTCAGCATTGTAGTAGGAGACTGTAGTATACAGATTAACCAGAACCTCTTTGCAATGGTGTCCTGATTTTATTCAAACTATATGCAGAACTCACATTTTTGGCAAATTCTTAAACATAGGTATTCTCAAAAGCAGAGACATCAGAAGAATTCACTGTGGTCTCTGCATCTTCTTTCAACTACATGAAAACACTTGTTTCTTGTTAGGAACCTCTTCCTGTTCCAAATACCTAAGAAACATACAACTAATTATATTCATTTTTGTTTCACCTACTGCTTAACACCTTCTATGATCCAAACTGCTGGGTTTTAAAGTTAAAATTATTGTAACTCCACAAGCTAAATCTACTTCTGATCTCCACCAGAATTAAAAGATATCTAGGTAATATTAGAAAAGGAAAAAAAGTAGGGGCTGTCAATGACTAGAGGTGATTCAGACAGCTAATATGTTGATAAGACATTTACAAGCACAAGTCTACCTAAAATGTTAAGCAAGCACTGTGAAGTGATAAATCCAACTTACCTGTGAAGAGCTTCTGTGGTAGGCTGAGTAGTGAAGTGGTCCAGAAATAGCAGTATCATGTGGTAAAGACGGATACTGACTCTGCATTGGGTGGGGGTGCTGGTTGCTATAGCTTCCATAGTTGTAACTTCCGGTGTATCTAAAATCCATTAAAAAAGACTACTTAGTATGCGTAATAATTGCATTGACACTAATACTTCTATAACTTTTGAGACATACTGTTGCACTTTTTGCATAGGAGAATGATATTTTAAGTGACCTTTCAAAAAAAAAGATATTTCCCAGCCCCGCTGGGAAGTAGATGCCACTTGGTGAAACAAGGCATTCAGCACAACAACAAATAGAGAGACTCTGCACGTTTCCCCGACTACCTGAAATTGCAGCCTCATTTGTGCACTTTCTAAGGAGAAAGTTGTTTTCTTTTTCATTATTTTTTATTGCCGTGTTCCATGTAAATTGCTATTCAGGCTGGGGGTGTATCATATGATTTAACTGAAAGAGCCACGCTGTGGAGTTCAGCTATCTCCTTGCACGGGGGTCAGAGGTTCCTTTTTTGGGAGGGAGAGAGATGTGTTCATTTGCATCTGAAGCGTACAACATACAGCTTTAGCAGAGCTGACTCAAGAATAGGGTGGGATTTGAGGGTGCGGCACCCGCCTATATTCTTTTTGTATCCCAATCCCTCGTCTGGGCACGGCCAGGGGTAAAGGAGGGAGCGGTTTCCTTAGCTGTAAGAAACTGCAGGATCAGTGTTTGTTGGACACCATGAGTTGGACCATTCCCTAGCAGAAGATATATGGACACTTGCTGCAACCTCCCCGTCTCTATGTAGCCAAGCAAACATTTGATGCTAATTCAGCAGAGAAGTTTAAAGGTTCTTAACATATATGCTATGGAAATGAAACACAAACCACAATAAACAAACAAACAAGGTAGCCAATTCATTGTGTGTGAGAGAAGACAGTTGTTTGTGTAGAGTTCAATGTCATTTTTACACTGTGTACAGTTCACGCTCCTGTTCTTTTCCTGATCTTGTGACTGCATTGTAGAGATGCCATGTCCTGTCTTCTCGTGGCTTATACCGGACAAACCAGCAGATTCAAAACGAGAGCAGACCACCCCCTCTAAAAACATTTTTGGGACATAAGGCCCTATGTCCCTTGTTCATGTTCAGCACTGAGCTCTCATTCTTACATTCACTTGTCCCTAGCTGTAAACATGAGTGATTTCCGTCGTCTGCCTCGGAGCACCTGCTGTCTGATGATACGACTGATAGTCTCTCTGTGGGGAACTGGGGAGAGCACGATGGCTGCATTATGGAGCTGCTGCACGCAGTGGTAGGCAAACATCTTGTGGTTTAATTCCTTCAATGCAATAGGCTGGTAAGATCTGCAACAGATGGTTTTGGCAGTCTGCATAAGCCTGACGTTCATGGTGCAAGCCTTCTCCGCTTGAAGAAGATGCACACCTACCTAGTCCCTCCTGTAGTCCGGGGTGACCTAGGAGCCCCAGACAAAGCCAAGTCCTGTACGGCGGTGTTTGCACTTCATGCTTTCTCTAGTCATTAGGGATGCTAAGTCCTAGGCTGGAAGCTATTGGTCTTGCCTCCTTCCTTCAAATGCTCATCACTTTTGGCTAAAATATAGCACTGCAATTCACTTGAGCATGGAGTTTTAAAGTTTCTTATCCTAATCTGTATTGTGTAGGTTTGGTCCAGGAAGCTTCCTCTTTCTCTCTTCAACTTCAGGACAGAGAGCACTGAGGACATGAGAAGGAGATGACCATGCTCCTTCGGGGCTAGTATTCTCTGGCCTATGTGAAAGCCATGCTAAGCATGGCTGAGGAACTCCACATCTCTCTAAGATGAAAGTGTACCTGAAAAATCCAACAAATATGTTTTCTGCCAAGTGCCATGTCTTACAGTGACTGTTGAACCACACTGAGTCATTGAGTAGTGGGATTAATACACATATGGCATGTCTTTGGGGAAGTACAGCTGTGAATTAGCAGTTACTTTAGAGTCTAGAAGCTATAATTCAGACAGGATGTCCAACTGATCGTACGGAGAATAATGCAAAGTCCTGCATCTGGGATTGGTATAACTCCTGCAGTGGTATGGGCTGGGGCCATTTGGCGAGAAAGCGGCTTTGCTGAAAATTGCCTGCAAGTTGTGGTGGTCAAGAAGCTGAACATGGGTCACCAGCATGCCCGTGCACCAAAGATGACCAGATGGGCTGTATTAGCAGGAATTTAGACAGCAGGCCCAAAGAACTGATTATTCCTCTCTGTTTGGCACTTGGGAGACCACATCTGGAGTGTTGTGTCCTGGTTTTGGCTCTCCACTATAAAAAAAGGACATTGACATACTGCAGCAAGTCTAGTGAAGGGCCATCAAGACACAGGGGACTGAAGCACATGACTTACGGGAAAGGAACTGGGTTTGTCCAGCCTCAGGAAGAGAGACAAAGGGATGAAATACAACTATCTAACAGGAGGATGAGGAGCAGCTAGAGCCAAACTCTGCTCAAAGGTACAGTGATAGGGTGAGAGGCGATGGACACAAGTTGGAGCAAGAGAAATTCCAATCAGATATAAGAATATTTTCCTCTATTAATACCACGGATCTTCTATTTGCAGCACTGAGGCTCCACACGTGTAGAGAGTAACACTGTGGATTTTGAAGAAGATTTATTGGAGTGAGCTAGAGTAGATTACAGGCATTGTGCTCTTCTCCAGTTTCACAAATCTACATTAGTATTGCTTGCTGTAAGGCTTGTTTTAATAATGTGGAACAGATCATGTAGCCCTTTTTTCATTTCTGGTAACATGCATTTGGCCTTAATCAATTTTTATTTTACAGGGAGCAGTTTTTATCATAGAACTTATGTTTTATTTTCTATAACTGGCAAGAAGCACAAAATACTTGTACAAATCAATTCAACATGAGTCTATATTTCAGTCTGTAACAGTCTGTATCCAAGTATCTCTGGGAAGTAGTAGGGCTTTATGTTGTTCAGTTCTTAAATGTCTTTACATTCTGGAATATTGTGGTATAAATGTGGTATGTGCTCTGAGCTTTTAGGTATTCTCTTTCTATCTCAAGGTGCTGTGGAGTCTTTATATTTCACAGAGGATCATCTAGTGTGCCAGACTGGTAGGAACCCCAGAAGAACTGCTGTTAGGAAACTTTCAGGTGGCTGAGTCTGCATTTGGTGGGAGATGCACCTACAGCAGGGGAACGGCTCATGGCATCCATACTGTTCATGCTTTCTCCTGGGCCCTTTCCTATGGGACCGAGGCTCAGTCTTTGCAGCTATGGCAGCTGCTTGCTCCATTTCTCTCTTCTCCAGAAACCTGAAAATCTTAGTGAAGACTTTGATCTTCTATCTTTCCAGGGCAGCCACCTGTTTGAAACTTGCATACAAGGTCTCTTATTTTTTCTTTTCCTCTCTGAAGATGTAGCTCTTTAATGCTTTTAAATAAGCTCTCAAATGTGTGACTATACCTTCCATAATAACTATGAGTCTTGTGTTCCGGAAGACCATGGGTGAGGTCACTGGATTTCCCTGCAGACATTTCTTCAGGAACATGTCTCTACAGCCTGTCATGTTACACTCAAATCGTATAAAAACTGAAATACCAATATGCTTATTTTTCTGTAGATACAAAATGAATACAAACTGTAATGATTTAAAAAAAAAAATTCATAGTACCATATGGGGGAAAATGCCCAGGATCATGTCCAGATGGGGTTTGAATATCAGCAAGGATGGAAATTCCATAGCCTCTCTGGGCAACCCCTTCTGGCGTTCAATCACACAGTAAAACAAGTTTGTTTGTTTGTGTGTAAACAGTATTTCTTGTATTTCAATTTTTGCCCCTTGCCTCTTGTCCCGTAATTGGATACCACTGAGAAAAAACTGTCTCTGTTTTCTTTACATCCCCCACCAGGTATTTATACACATTGATAAGACCCTCCCTGAGCCTTCTCCTCCTAGGGCTAAACAATCCCAGCTCTCTCACCCTCAATTTGTATGAAGGATGCTCCAGTCCTGTAATTGTCTGACTGGCCCTTTCCTGGACTCACTCCCTTAAGGCTGTGTCTGTCTTATACTAGGGAGCACAGAATTGGATCCAGTGCTCCAGGTGAGGTCCAGCAGAACTGAGCAGAGAAGAAGGATCACGTTCCCTGAGACACGGCATTGTAGGATAGTTCTTTGGACTCATCTAGCCTTTGGGATAGAACAAGGCCCAGGAAAACAGGAATCAGAGAAGAAATCAACTGATACTTTCTCTTTTATAAAATATTTTCCAGGCCTACTGTGTTTGTAAATAGTATTAAATGAAATTATAAAACTGAGACATAATATAATCACGTAACAGCAGCCAAAGAATAATGATAGCAGCATTTTTGCAATAGAGACTTAACTACATCAAAAACCAGATTTCACAGCATTTCCAAAAAAACCCCTAAGCATAGGTTCATCCAAAACCCACAAAACCCTCAAGTCACTGGGGAGAGACTTACCCGTGTTCTTCTCTGTGGGGATAAACAGGTATCCGGTGTGTGACAGATGAGGATGGTACATGTGGACTTCTCATGCAGGGCAGCTGTTGGGAATTTTCAGCAGGTGACCCAGCAGCTGTGGTCACAGTGTAGGTGAGTGACCACGTGTAGGATTGCATAGCTCCTGCAGACAAACAAGCATTAAAGGAATACAGCCAACAGGGACTGCTGGTCATAGAGGTGTTATGCTTTGGGACGGTTACAGGAAAGAAACCTAATAGGCACCAGTAACGGAAACAGCATCGCCCACAGTGAACACAACGGTTATGCCTGAGGCATAAATAAAAATACAAATAGATCAACTGGGGTGTGCAAAGATCCAAAGGTAAGAGACATGTCTGAAATAGCTCAGACCGTGAAGTTTCAGCATGGTATTGTAATTTGAGGCTACCGTTTTTTCAGAAAAAATGGGATAGTACTTAGAAATGCAGGAACACCAGTGCTAATGCTTGTCAGGCATGATGCACCAAACCCTGAGGTCTCTCTCACATGAAGTGGGCTTCTGGCTTCAGAGTTTAGCTCTGAGGCTGCTCAGGTCTGGAGTGAGGCAGGAAGTGTGATCAGAACAATGAAGGATTAGAAAAAGTTGGGTGTTACGTAAATAAATTTCTTGAATCCTCTCGCAGTGTGTATCTCTTCCCCCCACCCAACTAGGTACCAGCCTTCGTAGTGGCAGCACAGGGGTAGATCTCCAAATTCTAACAAATAAACAGAAATAGCCCAGCCGTTTTCTTCCCGCAAATACAGTTTCTTTCTTCTTTCAAGGTGGCAGGGGCTGGACCTAATTTATTTTTTCATGTAGAGCACTTGTGGGAAGAGCAAAGCAAAGAAGTGGGTTTTCCATTTTGCTTGGAAGGTGCTGAGTTTTTTAATCATCCTGATCCCTTCCAGGCAGGAACTCCAGACTCATGAGCCAGCTGCTGAGAAACCTTTGTCCTTTGCACACACCCCTCTCACTCAGGAGGCTGACAGATCCATTGTTCCAGTATAACATAGCTCTTGCTGGAGGTCATGACCATACTGGCTGAGATTACCCTGCAAATGAGGACCAGAACACTGAATTTAACCCAGTGAGAACACTGGTTTGGGGGTCTCTGGCCACTCTTGACTCTTTTTCACTACCTAAAAGGAATTGCAGGAGGTGGCACTTTTTTCAGTGTGGATTCTAGGACTTCCTGTAGCATGAAAGGGACTAATTCAGAGGAGGAAGTGATTATATCACCAGGTCTGTGTCCACTCCATGGCTGTGGGGAATGAAAAGCCTACCTAAGATGTGCATAATTTTCTTCAGGCGTGTGGGATTTTATTTGGCAAAATCAGATGAATAATTTTTTGAAACAGGAAATGCATAATTCTGCATACGAATGAAGGCATTCTGAAATTCAGCAGGTAAATCCACCATGGAATACTCCAGCAGGGTGTCATTTGGTGCTCTTGCATCCCGGGCTGTGTTATGACCAAGGATATTTGTGCAAGGCCTGTTTTCACACACCTGAATTTTCTGTCACCAGCTCTTGAATTTTCAGTCTTTCATGTCTTCCCATCGTAGAGGACCACTGAAATCCCTGAGACCAAAGAGGAGGCATACACATTTGAGCTAGCACATCGGTGCTGCTGTGGCTGTGGGCAGTCACGGTTCCTTGAGTTGAGGAAAAGAGTTAAAGGAGGCCTACCTTCCCTAGAAAATACAGTCTATGTGGAAAGAGTCAAAACTACTCATGCGGTCACCAAATAGCTTCGTTTGAAAACAAGAGAAAAACTGTTTTGAAAATATCAACAACTTGTCTGCGGAGTATTTTGGTGAGGCATTTCAGTTTCAAAAGGTCAACATTTTCCTAGTGTTATTTTCCAAAAGAAAATTTGAAACTTCATTTCAAAACAGGCCTAAATTCAAAAGGCAAAGCAAAGAGAAAAGAAGGACAATGAAGATTGTGGGGGGAAAAAAAAAAACCCCAAACCCCAAGCTTATCTTTAGGTAATATTACTGGGCTTTTTTTTCACTTTTAAATTCACCATAAAACAAAATTTTGACTTTGACCTGATTTTATTTTTTCCAAGAAAAAATTTGGCTATTGAGCCAAAAGTCTCATGACCTTCTCAGCTCTTACAAGAAGTGGTAATAACAGGCCTAAAAGACCTTTTGCATATTATTAAATATGGTTAATATAACTGGACCCAGACATTGTGACCCTCCTTTTCCTTTTTTTTTTTTTTGAAAAATAGTAGGGATCGTATCTTAGTCTGAGGAAAATGAGTCAGCCCAGGACAGCAAGTTGTTTCATGTGCTCCCTGTGGAAGGTCACTCCTTGGATGCAATAACTTGGCTACTCCTGGCATTCAAGTCTAACTGGCAGCTACCTCAGTTCAATTTTAAAATAAACGTTTAGAGTGAAACATGCTTTGTGCCCGTCCAGACAGCACAGAAACAAATATAGAGGGTAGGTCTTGCACTGGAAGAGTTGTGAATATCTTTAATTTTCCTAAGCAAGAATTGTCCCCAGTACTACAGGATAGTACCTCACCCAGCTGCTCTAGGAAATACTTTCTTTTGGAGGTTATGGTTTAGAAACAAGTGTATGTTGGGTTTACTCTGGAATTACAGGGAGACAGAAAGCTGTTCAATTTTTTTTTTTTCCAGGATGTTATTGAGAACCTACAGCTGCCTCACTTCTGTTTGACTTTGTGGAAGGGATGCCATTATTTTCAGTGACCTAGTCACAGAGAGGAAGAACAGAAGAAGACAAAAGCTTTGCAGATATGTGTATGTATATATCGGGTCAGCCAGGACACTGCTAACATTGTGGTGGGTGGAAAAGGAAAAAACCCAGTTTTTCATAGTTAGTTTTTTAACACCTGCCTATGTCCCAGCCCTATATGATTAAATTCCTCAACTGGCTGTGGAATTGAACTCCAGGAGATGAAGTCTCTTTTAGATATGACTGAACCCAACTGAACTGCTTTCTGAAACAAGCAAAAACAATAGTGATTGAGCAACATTTTGCTCTGCTTTGTGTTCTGAACATGCAGGGTTTGATTAAAGTAGGGAAGTTCATTCAGTATTACTCCTTTTTCTTTTCTCTTTTAATGAAAAATTTGATTTTGAGGGTACTAACTAAGAGGCCATCTGACCTATGAGGGAGCCAAATATAAATGGAACTGCTGTCAGTCCAACAACAGCCCTGTTGTCATTGGTGCCATCACGTACAGCAGTGCAGAAAGAAACAGATGTTGCTTCATGATGCTGCATTTTATATTTCCTTTATGCTGGAGTAAAAGACAACTCAGGTACAAGCAGGACACTCACAGCACTGTGTATTATGTCTGACAGTAAGCAGTACTATCAACCTCAAACAGTCAGAAGTCTGGAGTCAGACCCCTGTTCTGCCTTCACATAACAGAGGTGATGTTAACTATCAGCTTTAGAAAAAACACAAATCCTGACATTTGGAAAGGGAGAATTGCGTTTTGAATTTGGAACCTCTGACTTTTACACTCTGCAGTTATGAGAATTCAGCTCTGATTGTTGAAGAAGAGCTGATGTTCTCATATACTCATATGAGTCCAGGAGCTGAAGCTTTCAGAAAACAACAAAACCAGAAATTTGTTGTAGTCACACACACAAATATGAGAGGAGGTAGCTCTGTGCATGTATGTCCTGTGCCAGCCTCCCAGAACTTTAATACCTAGCCTGGACTTGGAAGAACAGTGACCTTAAACGACCATTGCTGACCTGAAGAATTATTTCACACTAACATTTTTTGAAACTAAGCAGTAAACTGCATAGATTAGGTTACTAACATATTAGGAACCACTTACAATTGAGAGTTCATTTTGCGTTGTCTAAAACCCAGTGCATTGGCAAATGAGTAATCACAGCTTTAAGAGGGGCTTTAAGAGAGAACAGCATAGTCAGCTATGTAGCTATCACTTTTATGACAATATTGTTGCAGTTTGAGCAATCATTAATCTGGCCTTTGTGATTTAGAAAGGATGGAGACTAATTATCCTTTTAAATGTCTAGTAACTTAACAAAAAGTTTTAAATAAAATGTTAACTTAGCCATGCCAGATGTTCTACCACAGAACGCTACATACAGGATTTACCTTTCTTTTGCTCAGCATCATGTACTTTCAACAGTTTAATTTGCTGGTTTTGTGCTGACCACTGACTGAAGGCAAAAAGGTTGAAATGTAAGTTTAATAGTTAACCTTTATTGCTAATGCCACAAGCAAGAAAGTTAATGATCCCTTAAATTGGGGAACTGAGAGCTGGTGGTAGCCAATGGAACTCGTTCTCAAGACTGGCAAAGCATTTGTAGAGTTTTACATTTACCTCATAAAAGACACATAAGAAAATCAATAGAGAGTACTTAAAATATATCTCTCTAGAAGAGAGGTTCCTGTTCCAAAGTAGTCTATATATTAATGCCACAAATCTGTATGTGGAATAGTCTGATTATATGTAACACATCCTCAGCACTCCTATTTTAAAGTACAGCGATTTTCTGCAGCTGAAACGTGGTTGTTATTTTGCATTACTTTATGTGAATGACCCCGCATTCCATGGCGTAATGGTTAGCAAACTAAAAAGTTGATCAATTCATCTACGTGATGGACGTGGGAAATGGAGGTATTTCTAATTGCCCAAATCAAGACCAGGAAATAACCACGTACTTATATTTAATCTTAATCAGACCACTACTTGCATTGACAAATTTGACTTGTGCTAGACAAAAATTATTTTCACACTTGCAAAAGCGAGACTGTACCAGACTGTAAGAATAAAATCCAATTCAACCAAACAAGAGTTTTTAAAACACGGAAAAATGAAAAGCTGGGAAAAACAGGGAGCTAAAATATCAAAAATTGTTTTCTTGCTTAAGAAGTTCTGCTATGGGAACAACTACGTCAGGTTCTACTGCCTGTACTGTGGGAGTAGGTCCTTCAACCATTGTTCCCAAATAATCCAGTTTCTGGCTTGAGACTTCAAAGTAGCAGACCTTGGCCTTACCAGGACATGAAAAAACAGAGAGAGTGAGAGGAATAAACCAGACTATAATAAAATAATAAACAAGATGAAAACAAAAAGCAATTGCATTTGTAATGTTTGTGTGAGCCCATTCCCTTGCATTCGGGAGGAATATGTGTGATCCATGCAGTTCCCAGGCCCTCCCAGATCTGCGCCTGAGAACACCCAAGTCAAGCAGGCTGAAGGTGGAAGCTCAGACAGCTGACAAACAGGCTATTACATAGACACAGAATGAGCTTGGGGTGAATGGCTACGACAGTCGCTGCAGCCTAAACACAAGTCCCTCAAATCTCCATTCCTGTCGATGCCACTGCAGAGCACAGTTCCCTACTTTTCAGTTCTACTTCTGGGTACAGTTCTGCCTCATACTGGTTATGGTTATAACATCACAACAATCCCATTGGGCCCCAATGCCTAAGGTCAAGTTACCCCCAAGATCAAGGTCTTGGCAAGACTCGAACATATACGTCACCTCCAGCTTTGCCTGACCCAAAGCAGTGTGCTCAGCTGCCACGTCTGGGAATCACGTGCCTCTTGTCTAACTGTCTGTGGCTAATCCCATCTTATTTCCCTCCTAAAGATGGTATTGATTCCAACGGTATGAAAACCTGAAGTTTTGATGTAGGGACAAATGTTTTTAAATCTCCTTCCACCACAACTATGCATTGTGCTTCCCTGTGGCGCCTTTGAAAACATGAAAAACATTTGTCAGGAAGATTTATTAGTTGTTTAGCTTCGGCCAAATTCTCCAGTGTGGTAAATCATCACTTTCTGACATTCTTTCATGAAGGTTTTGTAACTTTTCTAGTATGTCACAAAAGTGATAGTTTCCACATTCTGATTATAGACCCATTTCACTGAGGAGCAGCAAAGCTGGAATTTCACTGCCTGGAACGCCTTCTGAAAGTCATTGACATTTCTGCCTTTTTTTTCCATGAGTTAAGAAAACACTGCCTTTTGATCATACAGGGAGACTTTCCTGCCCACATCCAGAAGGTAACGAGTGAGTTTTACACTGAAGGACAGAGGAAGGTTGCCCATTTGAACAGACCAACCAAGAAGCCAGTCTCATGCTTATTGTTTTCTGTCAATCCTGCCCACAAGTTGAATACCTTTAAGCACAGATTTTTTTTCATCTGTGGACCCACCACAATACAACCACCTCATGAGCTGCCATTAGAGTATGCAACTGAAAATAGGCTTCAGACACATAATGCTTAGTCTCCAACATTGAAAGATGAAAGTTATCAGCGATAGTTGGGTCTCAAACACATTGAATGATATCCAATTCCCATTTTACCCACTAGGAATTCCTGAACCACTCGTGGTTCAAGATTTTGAACACCTCACTAAACCTTAAAGTATCTGGCATGTTTCCTTGAAGTATATAAACCATCCAAACATCAGATCTTTTTCCTGTCAGACTGCACATCACGTTTGGGTACAGTGAGAAGGCATAACTGACACTTTAAACAGATTTCCGTTTGGGAAGGCTTCTCATCTCCTGAAAGCCAGCACATCATGTTTTCATGCTGTTTCAGGTGACCAAGTACAACAGCCACCTTCGGGCAGCTGCAGCTGCCATATGCCTACCCACCTGTTGTAGCCGCTATGCCACCGTATTCTGGGGACTGGTTGCTGACGGGCGAGGGGGCAGAGGGCACTTCCACCGAGGTGGCAGATTTAGCTGGGGAGAAGGGCACTGGGGAGGGAGTTGGAGGGGCAGGTTCACTCAAAATAATTTCTTCTCGTATTTCTGCTGCAGGATGAGAGAAAAATCATCAAACACAGTTAAAGGTAGGGTCAAGGAACACTGAGAAACTAAATAAGAAAATCAATTACTGCATGATAAGAAAATCAATTACTGCTGCATTTCAAGAAATGCAACACAGGAATCACAAATCTTGGAAAGAAATACTGCCATAACATTCAGCATTGGAAGCTTCAGCATACCTTCGAAAGACCTCTTAAGGGAAAGTGCTACATTTCCTGTTGTATAGATCGGAAACTCATGCCCAGACAGCTTAAGGTTTATACTCCTGTAATATACTATTAGATACCTAAACTGAGGAGTCCTGTCTGAGCCAGGCACTCCTATTCCTTCTAGAGACATTGGAAAGAAGCGGGAATCTCCAGGGAATTCTAGTGGCTTTTAGTCATGACCTCCTCTCTTCATTGCCTAAAGAGGATGGCTCTGGATAGCTGTAGCTGCTAAAGCTGTTTGGACAGTATGCAAGGAGAAGCAACTTGTTTGTCAAAAAACACAAGAGGCTGTGGCAGGGCAATGAATTAAATCCAGGTCTTTCAACACGTAGAACATATTACCCTAATCACTGAAATATTCTTCTCTTCCCATGAATATACAGGGTGGGAAATTAAGCCACAGCTAAAATGAGGAGTGAAACTTCCCCAAAGTGGCGGGGGTTAACGGGAGATGGAGGGAAGACAGATCACTGAGGATCAATCATTGCAAGGGGCTGCCCTGAGCAGAGACCAAAGGCAATCTCTGCTCACTTCTGTTCTGGTGAGTCAGTGCAGAGTGAGTGGAGCAAGACTCGGGATCAAGTCTCTACAGGCACTTAGGACGTAAGCATACCAGAAACAATAGATTTAGAGTTTGTCTTTGCTCACTTCTCCAGTCTCTCCCTCTTATTTTACTGGGAAAAGCCATTAATATCAGTGAATTTATTTAGTGTTAAACCAGGGTGAGAGAGACAATCAACTGGGTTCACTGAAATACAATGGTGGCTTAGACTAACTGAGGTGAAAGGCTCAGTACAAAGATCTCTCACTGAAACACTGAGTGTGAGCTCCGGAATGGGGTTCAGACACCCAGAGTCACATCATGAACCAGGCAGGCCTCTGTCAGACTGTATTAACCAGGGCCACCTCCTCACAGATGACTTATTTCAAATCATGACGGAACTGAGAAACACTTCGCTCCTAGATAAGCCTCCCTGGGTTAGACAAGGATAAAGAAATGTCCTAATGTAGTAACTAGTGAATCCAGAGGAACAAAACAACAAAAGATAAATAAAAGGACAAACTCACCTGTGCTTCCTTCCCCTTTCATTGCCCTCATTAGCTCATTAGCTCTCTCCTGGCAATGGAGTGATTCTAGCAGGTACAATACATAGTCATCGAACATCAAGTGAATAAGGTGAAAAGACCCTGGTAATAAAGTGAACAAACAAAAAAGCCATTGACTGTCTCAATACACTCATTAAAGCAATGATTGCGGTATTCAACACAAACAGTGCTGAGCAGGACTGCCTCCATGTACTGCTGTCACTGAAGGAGCTCTCCTACTCAAGGCAAGGGCTGGCAAAACAAAACTGGGGACTAGCTAGCTCCGCTCACTCCTGGAGTCACACAGGTTTAGGCAACCAGTTATTGTGGTTTAGGGTGCAAAGAGGCTCCCTAGCTGAGAAACTTTATGAAGACTTCTTCTTCCACATCAGCACTGAACAATTTAAACAATTACACTACAGTGGAGCTGTTTCCTTTTCTCTAAAGGACCAGACAGAAGTTTCTGTCAGAAGCAGAATCCTGGATTGGATGCCTTAGCAGCACATTGTGGTATGAATTTTCTGAACTACCTGTGTCACTGGACAAAGAAATGAGAGGCTATCAATATGAGAAACAATCTTCCAAATCTCCTGATGATATATCTCCAGTGCATTGCCTGGACTGGATGAGACACGATTAACTGCCAAATGTACAGGCATTAGCAGCAAATATGGATGTCTTAAAGGGAAAGATTTGTGCCAAAGCTTTGCTCTGTCATACTTCTACTACTACATTGTATTTTCCTAATTATCAGTTGGAATCATATCAGCAGCATAACATTTGGCCTGTTTCTGTGCTTACCTCTGAAGATGCCACTGATACTGTCTCTTAGCTGCCATGACAGGAATGTGAAAAACTTAAGGACTAAAGGACTAAAGGATTTAAGGGCTAAGGACTAAAAAGGGAAGAGTATGGACAAAAGAAAACAGGTGAGATGGAGTAAAAAAAAAAAAAAAAACCAAAAACCAAACACACTTTGAAAATTAATAGTAAAAAGAGGTTGTATGGATAGCTATCTGCCACAAATCCTCAAGTAAGATTTGAGTGCAGATGGAGAACTTCTAATGTTGTTAGGAGGAAGGACTGGGTGATGCCATGGACTAGAGCAATGGAAGGGAAATTTAATAGCACGCTGTAAGAAGTTCTGCCCTTAGAGATTTATCTTATCCTCTGATTATACACTTCCTATATAGAGAAAGAAGTATTAATACTATTGCACAAGGCACTGGTGAACCCTCACTTAGACTATTGCATATAACTCTGGTCGCCCGTGTTCAAGAAAAATGAGTACAAGTTGAAACTGGTATGGAGAAGATTACCAGGAGGATGTAGGGCATGGATAATAGATTTCAAATGACTAAAAATGCACGGCTGGCTTCATTTTGCAGAAAGGAAGTGAGTTGCTTCCCATAATTTATAAGGAAGGATACATGTCAGGGATGGTGAAGAAATGTTTGCCCTAGAGCACACATAGCCACAAAAATAGATGTGTAAGAAGAAACCATAGATGCATTTCAGGGGAAAATTAGAGGAGCAAGTTGTCGGAGTTAGATATTGTGTAGTGACCTCCTGAAAGGAATAACATTCATCTGCAGGGGAAGACAGAAAAGTATCAGGATGGAGTTTGGTGAGTTTATGCAATCGACTCCATGACACAGAGTACCTGTAACAGCTCCAGATGGGATTTGATCACACAGTGTGGTTGGGGTTTTTTTCCTAATCTCCTATGTTTATTTAGACTTGCATGGAGTATTTAATACATGTTCATATAAGTCATTAAGTAACTCCAGCAAATGCAGTCAGGTTAAAATAATAGCCAGTCCAGCAGCTGGCTTAATCCAGAGAAAGATCACCAGCTGCAAGCGAAATAGAGATCAATTACTGCCAGCCACGCAAAAAAGAGACCCCATCTCATCCAGATATGTTCTTTTTGAAATTCCGTTACTACATTTTGAGGAGAAATACTTCCATGGGAAAAAGACACAACAAGTTTCAAATTCAATTCAATTTCATAATGATTGGTTTCTTCACAGGAAAGTTGGGTTTGGCTGGGGATACTAGCTTTTGCCAAAACAAAGCGTAACTACCCCTGCTCCAACTGTACTCAAACATACTGTTGAAGAGCAGAAGTGGTTTGAAAGACCCTACATCCTTATACAATCCTAGCTGACAATTCAGCTTTCCGAGCGACTCTGAGCACATTCTTTTCCTTTGTGACCCGGATGGTCTTTGTGCTGCATTCTCTCACTCCAAGCCTGCGTGGCTTCTGTCGGCAGCGGGAGGCGAACACGCGCCTTTGTGCTCCTGGGCGAGGCAGCGCCGAGAAAGGACGCGCGTGATTGCAGCGGGCAGGAGATCTTCCGCTGTTGATGAACCTGAAGCGTTTGGGTTTTCATTCGTTTCACACATCTATGCAAATCAACTTGGTGACAGGTTTCCCCAGCCTTGCAAGGGTAAATAGCAGAGATCTCTTAACTACCGCAGAGGATTTGTTTTTAGAAATCTTTGGGGCTCAGAATCTCATTAAATAAAATCCTATTCAATTTAGCAGTACAATAGAGACAGCAGACCTGGCTGACCACCTCGTTACTGACCTAGTGTTTCCCCAGGGGAAACCTAGATTACCAAGAATCTCCGCAAAATGCTCGCTCCTCTTCTGACTACAGTTTTTCGGTGGGAAGTTTCTGTTGACTTCAGTGTAGTTACTACCGGTAAGTACTTCTAAGGTGAGAAAAACAGGCCAAAATGCTGGCAAACTTCACGTGGTGGTGTAAAGCTCAGGGTATTTCATGCTTCCCACCAAACCAGCTCTTGCTCAGCATTAATTAAAAAAAAAAAAAAAAAAAAGTTGCTTCCAGTTTCATGAAAACATTTGGAAGTACAAACCCTAAACACTAAAATGCTAGCAAGCAAACAACAAAACCCAAAGATTTGCTATTTTTAAAGAAAAGCCTTTAGTTTTGGGGGGTCTAGTGCTTTATTTTGAAGACTTGGGTTTGGCAATACTGAATGCAGCATTTAAAAACACTCTGGTGCCCTTGTCACTCTTTTGAATTTCTCTCTTCCTCTCCTATTATTTCTCCCACTGTGTATTTTTAAACTCTGTACAGAGTTTTTGAGCCCAGAATTTGCGTGAAAGACACTAGACAAACAAGTTGCTGGTACTGAATGAATGCAATATTTTTACATTTTTAAATGAGTCAAATGAAATGTAAGCTATAGAGTGAAACCAATCTCAGGGCACGCATTTCAACTACTCAGTGAATAGCTACTGAGCACGAGGTACAATAATTTATTCTGTGTTTGCAAGCTACTGTTTTTCACATGAACCTATTTGGTTCTTTCAAGTATAACTTTAAGTAGTGAAACGGATCCCACTGTGGCTGGCAAAGCATACGCTTCTTTAGGAAGAGGTAAGAAGTCATCCATGAGACTGTAGTTACAATAATCAATAGCATTTGGCTCTAATGTTCAGGAGTTAACAGAAATCATGGCAATGATTACCCAGCTAATGTACAGTAAGTATCAGCAGCTTATTAACAGATACAGCAATTATGTGTAAGTAGCAAAACAACAGTGAGATTTCCAGATCTGGAGAAAATCATGGAGCTTCTATGGCTAATTGGTTACTTTATACACTGGATGCATTACTCAAACACTGCCACCAACTGTGCCTTTGATATGCACAGACAGGAAGGAGGGAGGGAGGGAGGCAGGCAGAGAGAAAAAGGGAGAGGGAGTGAGAGAGAGAGGAGCTTTATTTCTGCTGGGGATTGTTTCAACCTGCCCATTGCCACCACGCTTAAAAGCTTTGCAGAATCAAATCTCTGTGCTAGCCAGTCCAGTGCCAGGTATTCCAAATTCCTCCCATCAGATTTCTGTATCATATAGTTCAAAGATAAAAATATACTGTCCTGTATGTAGTAAAGATCCCATCACTTAACACATTGTTTTACTTTTTTAAAAAAATTACACAGTGAGCATCTGAGTCTGTATGTTACTTGAAGTGGAAAACATCAATAAAAATCAGTCCACCCAAATGGCTTCTAATTCAGTAAAAATGCAAAAGTTTTTATCTAAGTTAAGAACAAAGATATATAGATGTAAATAGAATAATAGATTAGTCTTTGTTTTTCTCTATAGAGCTCGCCTAAATGCACATATTATTCAGAAAAACTGGAAGGAACTGCGTTAATTTAAGCACAGAAGAGTTGCTGCCATTTAGCTCTGAGCCGGTTACATCTAGGGGTTATTCTTTTGGAACTTGCTCAACTCTGATTCACCAGCAATGGGTCAAATGGCCTTGCAGTGAGAGACTACCGTCATCAGTACAATCTACTATAGATTTGTGCCCATGGCTAAATAACATTCGGGACATTTTGGGGGAAACAAGGTAGGGATAGCCCAGGCTTCTGCCTGATAGATATGGTTTTGGTATCATTCTCCCCTTTGAAAACCTGAAGGCTGAGATCTCCTCCGGCCTCCACTGGAGTTGCACCTGAGCAGGGAAAACTCCACCCTGGATAAAGCAAGGTTAGAATAGGGACTAAACGAACGCTTGTCACACCACCTCCCGGGAGAGAACCCACCTGGCAGGCTGCAGACCTCTGCAGCTCAGCAGTGCTTATGTGGTTTGTACAAAGTGGAATAATTCCAACTGAAAAGGTGAGAAAACCCTCCCAGAGGCCAAATCTTCTAGCCCTTTGGTTAGAGATCTCGTTCTGGCAGTGATTAACACTGCTTCAAGACGGCTCAGGCAGGCAACTGTGGTCTAAGCACCAAAATGTGGCAGATGGAAAAGAATTCCCTTTGATTTTACTTTTTTAAAAAGAAAGATTTCCAAATGTGATGAAAATCCCAAACTGTCTCAGCTTCACACCAAACATAATGCCTTAAAAAAACCAACCAAACAAAAAAACACAAAACAAAAACCAACCAAACAAAAAACCCACACCAACCAGAATTCTGGCTCTGGCAAGACACATCAACTATGACCAGAACATTCTATCCCTGACTGTGGTTACATATAAACATATCAAATTAATGTTCACAGGTATCTGTCCATTTATGGAGAAGCATGCATTTGTACACACAGATAATCTCAGGAACTCAAAAGACAAACAAAAACCCCAAAACCCTACACACTTAGCTGAGCAGTTAGAGTTCTCACAAAATGAGAAATTCAAGACCCAAATTTATAACAGAGGCAACAGGTAAGTTATTTAAGTAAACCTGATACATTATACTGTAGTGGGTCCCAAACTCAACCCAACAAATAATTCTCAACCTTCTCATTTACTCGCTTCATGGCAACTTCATACATGTTTGAATGAATAAGTCAGAAATCACAGCTGCGGGTCACCGTACAGACCCCCACTGTCGTCTAATAACTATGTGGGGAATCCCCGTTTGATTAAAGTTGTTTGGTGATCAATGCTCTGAAACAGAAAATGCTTAATTAGGTTACAAATGTAACCCAAACAGGAATAAAAGTAATGTTGTATGTGCAATTCAGTAGCAATAATGTATCCTTGGGGCAGTTTAATATCAGCATCTCATGACCTGTAACAGTGTAGCCTCAACAGTGCAGTAATGCAGGATGTATTTTCATTTGTTGGATAAGGGTGAGTTCCACAGGTTGAGATTAAGTTTGCAGCAACAAAAAGGGCTAGAAAACAAAATTCAGTATTTATTCAAGACCCACAAAAAGGGATTTTTGAACACTGGGGGAAAGTACACTGTTAAGCACTATCAGCTACTTTTATGCCCACCACAAAAGAAAAGCTACAGTGACTCGAGGAGAAAATGAGTCCTAAAGAAGGTGGAAAATAGATGTGACCGGGACATTGGTGCTGAGAACACAAGCCAGCAGGTGGAAATTGTGATCATCTTGGGGATACTCGCTATCCTGCTGTCTGATGGTGACTCACTAATACCTGTTTGGAAAAAATCTGTACAATGGGAAGCCAGTGAAAGTAGTTTCAGATTAAAATATAAATACATATTGTGCCTATCTCTGATGGTATCTGAATTTATGCTATTAGATGGTTCTAACAGCATAAAGGACATCACAGCTCAACTGGCAGAAAACCTGTCAGTTGTTCAATGCAGGATGTTCATAAATTCATTATGAATCTTCTATTTACATTATCAGACAAATGTGCATTTATAAAAAACACCCCTCATGCAAAATCTGGTCCCGAGTGACTGCAAATGTCAACACTCATGGCTGAATTCCTGCTTTTAACTGATTGTAATCTGTACTGTTTGTATCCCCAGGTTCAAGAAAAAGCCCCTTTGGAAACTGTGTAGAAAAGCATCGTGCTTTCTCATTTAAAAAGTAAAAGCCTATTTTTCCACCCTGCCTGAATTCTAAGAGAACGGAAGAGCATCTGTATAGAAACATGCTCGTTTTGCAAAGACTAGTTTAAAATGCTACATCCTTTATAAGCAGAGCTGACAAAGTGGTTCGCTGGAGAGCTTTTCATCCACTTCAGTGCAAAGTCGTCCCTCTCAGCACAGCACGTGGTCAGAGCGGTTGGGTAACTGGGCTCACTTTGCACTGAAGTGCTTTAGGGAATGCTCCTGTAATCGACTCCTCCAGCTGACCTGTGCCTGATCTCTCCAGCTAACAGCAAACAGAAGGAAGCGGTAACGTTTTCAGCTCCCCTGGCTACATCTTGAAGACAGACATCTGAGCATTATTTCCAAATGTCAGTAGCCCCAACTCTTTTTTTAAGAGCCCTGGACTCGTGAAAACTGTTTGTTTTCATTTAAACTGTACATTACAATATCTTTTTTTCACTATGGCATGCAATTATTACAACAAAATGAAAGTACCAAAGCTGGGTGCACTGTGCAATGTCATGTCCCGAATCACCCGAGTGCCAAAACAGGACCACATCAGGAGGAACTGCTGAGCTACTTTCTTCAAAGAACCTTGTCTCTTGGCAGCTACCTGCAAGAAAACAGATGCATCTGACATGGAGAAACATTTATTTCTACCACCCAATACAGCTGAAAGATGCACATATCTGTCTCCATTTTTACAGTGAAAAATTACTTACCATTGTCTTCACATTAAAATATTTTAAAAAGGCAAAACAGAAGAAAAAAAACATACACAGAAAGCCACCTTGTGACTAGATACAACCTTCAGAAAGACGAAATCATAAAGCATTATTCAGCACCAAGAGTGAATTTCCTTTATACATGATGAAAGGACTGCCAAAAAATTGCTCTGATCTTCATCTTAATCTAACTACTTACATGTTTATTCTTGCTTCCTAGTGAAGGAAGCAATTTATAATTAAGCCTTCTTGGTCTACACTGAAAATTGATATTAATACTTCAATTAAATTTTACTATTGAATATAAAATCTTTTGTTCCTTCATATTTTTATGTTTCTGAATTCATATAGTCATTTTACTAGCAAAAATACTTTCCAGAAAGCACATCTTAGGCATCAACTCTTCAAAAACCTATGTACTATAAGCATTTGTGAGTTAAAGAATCAGGTTCATCCAATTAGCAAATAAAATTCATGTCAAGTTCTGCATGAAAACTAACAGTTATGGTCTGAATTTCAAACTGCATTCCACTATCTAAACAAAAGTTCCCCCAAACTATCAAAATATTTCAAGAAATCTGGGGAAGTGTCGGTTTTCTGTATGGATCTTTTGCAGCAGAGAGAGACAGATTTTTTTTTCCCCACCCCAGCTTCTCAGCTCTAACAACTGGAATGACGAGTTGAAATTCTAATAGAACAGCCTAATATGAAGTATAGCTGGTGTCAGAAGTGAACGCACATCGGTGACTCAGGTCCCCAGTCCTGCTTACCAACCTTTACAACACATCTGTCCACCATGGAATCCAGCCACTCGATGTACGACTCAATGGGGGACTGCTCCTCCAGAAGGTGATCAAACTCTTGGTACACTGGCAAAGAAAAAATAGCCTACCTCAGTACTTGCATTCCATTTTGAACAAAAGAGAAACAAATCACAAAAAGCTGCCAATAACATCACAGGTTTGCTGTGGGGTTTATAATAGATTGCTTAACTATAACAAATTTATCTTTCTTGGTGCTGACCCAATAAGTTTGCTTGCTCTCATATCTTGTTTCTACTGAAAGTGATGGAGTCATTGGAAGTGGTATTTTCATGTGAGCAAATCAGGACCTATTGTTTAAAATTAATCTTTTGATTTAAGCTTCAGTTGTCTGGCGTGCCCGGAAGTGAAAGTTTATGGGGTTCCTTACGAGGAGTGCGAATCTAGGCCTTGACCCTGGTGATGAAAAAAGGTCATGCATGAAATTGATTTAGAAGTGCATAAAGAATCTCCTAAGCACCAAGTGGATGAGTATTGTTGATAGGGCTCTCATCTGTATAATGCTTTAGTTGCAAAAACATGATTTAACTGCTGCAAATCATCTCTTTGCGATGCCAGACACACACACAATTTCCATAAACTTCTAATTCTTCAAAACAAATTGCCACCCATGCAAAAATGTTATACTTATTTTATCAAGAAGAGTTTCTAAAAGCCACTTCTAAACCTGTTAACCTCTCCCAAGTACACATAATACAGAAAGTAAAAACAACCAGGGCATTCAACTGCTGCTCTTAAAACTGCAGGTCTCCAGTTTATTTATGGGAGTCAGTGGCTGGAAGAGAAAGAATCGTGTGCTTTGACACCTTAAGAAACTATTGTTCACCTCAGCTAAAATAAAAGGCCCAATAAGTCAAGAAGAAAGATACTTTGTACCTGTTGTGTTACAGAATTGTCTCAATGTGCTACGCATTTCCATTTATGCTTAATTGTAAATAACAGGAGGAAGGAATTTCCCACCGTTGGAGAGAGTGTGAGGGAGGCGAAGGAGGCAAAGCCTAGAGATGATAGCTGGGGAAGTGAGCCAGAGAGGGTATCTGAGAATAACGCAAAGAACAAGCTCTCTGGTCTCCAAGATCAGAGAGACGAGCAGGGATGCATTTGCTTCACACCTGACTTTTAACTTAGGCTCGCAAAGGCTGGATGATCAGAAGCATTAGCTGGGGAAGAAAGGCAATAATGCTGTTTGGGCCACCCTTATCTGGTTTCATTGAAAGGGCAACCTCTCTTTGTTCAGAAGAGGATCACAGAGGAATCTAAATGCTTTCTCCTTACCTGAGTATATGGCTGGACAAAAGTGTCTGATACAACAGATGAAGTAATTCATATGCTGTGCAAAGAAGGGAGCAAGAGCGGAGAAACAGATCAGTTGCCTGCTTTGCTGCTGGAGCAACGCAACTGTGTACAACAACCCACCTGAGAAAAGCAACTGCTTGGCCCTCAGTGACTGTTAAAAATACCTCAACAGCATCGGAGGAAGAGGGAATAAAGAAGAAACCATGTCAGAGACAACTACCATAGCAGAACAGCAATGAGCTTCTCTTATACCCAGTGATTTTTCTCTGTTTTTCTCTAAGCTCGTTTATAGTTTTTTTTCCAGTCACAGTAGCTAGAAATTTTACTTTCTTGGTTATTAATACCCAGAAAGTGAAAGCAGGCCTTAATTCCATGTCATATGAGTCATGGAGGTGTGATCTTTGAAAAAATCTTTGGCCAGGTGGAGTAACATCAAAGATGGTGGTGGTGGTGAATATCTAAATTCTAGAATAATCTCTATACATATCTGCACATCTCAGTGGAATCCCATCTCATAATGAATATTCATATTAGGCTACCATTTCTGGGTAATTGCTTTTTGGACTCAATTGGCCTAAAATATGGAAAAATGTGTTCAAATCCATTCACATTCAGTAAAAATCCATTTGATTTGATTGCACATATGTTTGTATTTAAATAATTAGCATGTAAATGAAAAACTTTCCTAACCAGTAAGGATTTTCTGAATGAGAGCCAAAACTGTTGCTGCTCCTAAGGATTATAACTTTGAAAACTTTCATTCTGGGACAGTGGGAGGATGTTGGGTAGATACTGAAAACATAACAGACGACAGAAAGATGCATCCAGCTTCTGGACTCCAGTCTCACTCTATGCTACCACCTCTCCTGCTGCCATGTCCAGCTTCTATCTCCTCAAAAGGGAAGGGGTCCATGTCATGAAATGAATCACGGGT